TGCCAACCACCCCCCCCCATGTATTCTCCTCCTGGGTATCGAGGCCTTTGCCAATGCACTCGCATAATCACCCTCCTCTTTGCCCCTCATAGGCTCCAACTACAGCCCCTCCTCTCGCCATTCTCTTAAACGCGCCTCAATTTTATCTACCAACCTATTAGTACCATGCACACCGCACAAGCACACACTCATCTTTTTGGATCTCAATTTATTCAAATCATTGCCTCCAATCATTTTACCTCTCTTCTTTCCGATCAACTCCTTCTTCTTCTTCTTCATTCGTAACGAGAAAGTTCCATTTCACACCGTTTGACATATTTTTAACTTAGGCGTCAGGCCAATTCTGAATTTAAGACGTGTCTTCAAATATCTACCAGATATGTTTGTACAATCACATTCTCTGTCTTCTTATATGAACGCATTGTTCTATATGTAAACCACTTTTATGGCTGCTAAAATATTTAGTAGTTAAGGGCAATTTATGCAAGTATTTTCAATATTTCTGCACTCCTTGAAACTTCATTTCCAAGACCTTGAGGCACTTATGAAGCATTTATGTTAACAAAAAATACTTGTCCTTTTTCACTAATGCCAAATTATTTTAAGGACCAGTCTTCAGACATCGCAAGCCTTAACAAGATCAGGTGCAATTTGAAGAGCATAAAAATAAACCGATTTTATCAATCATGCAGAGCTAATTTTATTGCGATATAATCTTTCTGTGATCAATTGCTCCAAATATCATAATGATTATCAATTCATTTTTTACTTGCTACCAATGGACATACTTTCTACTCGCCATCTGATTTGACTACATGCATTTTACATGCGTGAAGTCACTATCAGTTTCGGTTTGATCATTCATTCTAATCATTACTTCTTCCAACTCGAATAATTTTAAAAGAACAAAAGAAGAACCTAGTATTAAATTCAAAGCTAAATTTATCCAACTCCACTTCAATCATACTAAATGACGACATAAAGTTGCAACTAAACTAGACTCTAACAGTATTGAGCACGCCATAAATGGCAATTCTAAGGGACTAGATAACTTACCGCAATAGAAAATATTGGATTATAGAGACGAAAATTATAAACCACTAAATGTTACATGATGTCTAAGAGGAAAAATCAAAACCCCGAAACATGAATAAATCTGCAAATACTCATCTCAGGTGTATATAAAGGATTTGCAAAGATATATAAAAATTCAACTAATAATATAAATAAATAAAGCAAATAATACTAAACCAAAAATATGTACTAAATATTTGCCAACCCAATTCCAACCAACCCCATGTACCTCAAGTGAGCACTACCCACACCATGTATTGTACTACAACCCACAAATCCACCCCTTAAGATCTAAGAAAAGTCATTAGTCATACCATAGTCAGGTTCTATTGCTTTAATATAAGGATAGTTACAGGGAATGCAAATTTATTAGCCATTAATAATACACTATCCTGATATTTATATATTAAATAATATCAAAATTTTGCACAATTATATGCTGAATACGATAAATCACAAATTGATAAATATAAATTATATCATAAACGTCAGTTTTAGGCAGATTGTATAATAACGTAGGTGAAGTCCTACTTAACTGGGTAATTACGCTTCCACGAAAAATGACCCTTATAATAAAATACAAATACATGACTAGAATGTTTAATTGATTGATCACAACTCAAAAACTAATTCCATTTGATACCCTCTAGAGAACTTGAAGCACTCCTTAGTTCTCACCAAGTGAACACTCATTTTCCTGAACAAATCAATATTTTCATAGGGAGCATAAGAATCCGTGTGTAAAGGGAAAATTAGACATGCAATCCCCATTCTTCATATTTTTATACCCCAGGTTTTGTAGTACCTTACAATCACTCAAATGTCAAACATTTTTCGACGAGGTGGAGGAAAACTAGACATTTATATAACCTCTCGAAGAATGTATCATAAATCAAGGCTGAAAATGACGCAAAATGAAGAAAAGGCATAAAACTCATAGGGATATCACTTCGACGTACTAGAACTCGAATATTAACTTAATTCAATAAACGAACCAATATGTGCTTTTATGCAAGAAAAGGTAATGGGCAAAAACTAAATCTAACAAACGTTAGCCATTAAAGGCAGAACTTTTGTTGTAAATATAACTCATACGTACTAACAAACCAGCTCTTTTTATAGCCGTTCGTCAACCAATTACTTTTTTTCACTTGCATTCCCTTGGCGGTTGATTTTTTTAAATACTCACTCCACTTTCTTGTTTTCACCATTAATGAACAGTAAAACTAACGTAGTCAAATGTAAAAAATAGTTAATGACTATAGCAAGAGATGTTATGAAAATAATTTTTGGAAATTCAACATTAAACATAAATAAATATGCAAAAATACTTTGGCTTGCACAATTTTGATCCTATGTTAGACAATTGACTTCGACGATCCGAAAATGACGTAGAACATCCAGCCAACGAGATTACCAAAAACAGCGCAGTGAAAGACGGTAGACCAGTTGTGCCACTTTGAGAGGATATAGCCCGTGAGATAAACGCCCGTGAATCCTGGAATTGTGCCCACTGTTGACATCACTCCAAAAACCTGACCACCTTTCATTGGTGCCATGTCCTGAGGATTGAGGAGAATACCACTATTATGAAAGCCGCAACAAGCCAGAACTAGAGCCATGCATAGCACAGACGCATAAAACCTTTCTAGCAACTGCAGTATGAGCAGAAATACGGAAGTCCCCAACAAAGCTACTGACTTAAAAAAACGAAATTACTGTCAGTAAAGTAGTTAATTTAATGTACAGAAGTAATTTCAAATGCTCACTGATATAGTCTTGCGAACAAAAGTCACCGAAAAGCCTTAAATAAGCGACAAATACATATTTCAGTATTAACATATAATAAAGTAAAAAATGTTGAATTAAAAATTTTGTTGCTTACCAAGAGTTACCATCCAGTCGGCTAGAAATCCACTGACAAGAGTGCAAGGGGCTACAATGAGCCATGGAACAACATTGAAAATCCAACTCTGAGCGGAAAATAAAATTCAAATTCTAATAGATAATGTAAAATTATTTGAAAGTGGAAAATCTGACAGAGGGCTTACCTTTGCGTCAGGGTAATTATCATGAAAGTAGGAAGGCAACCAATTGAGGATTATGTAAAACGTATTGTTGAAAACGAAATTGCCCAAAAGCATTGACCTGAATAAGTGTGAAAGTACAGCAATTACTTTGTAAAAAATACTAAATTTATTCACTAAAAACCTAGCAAAAGACCATATCTGATTTTAGAAGGAACTCATTCGGGAATTTAAGACTGTTTAATGTAAAAATTGTTGGAAGATAATCCAAAATATATGCATAGAAAAGATAAATTTTCAGGACGATTCTTTCCCACTTCCAAAATGGGTGTCATGAAAACCTCCTTCTTCAAAAGTCTCAAGTAGTACTGGAGATCGTATCTTTGATTGATACGGTAATCTATCTTTTCGGTTTTATGCTCACTAAAAACTCAAAATATTAATTCTGGGGAGTCCAGTTTGCTCCTTAATTTCCCACAATTTGACATTGCCAAAACATCTACTTAATTAGAACATTAGCATTGCCTATTGAGGCTTCGGTAACAGAAAAAACCACTAGAAAAGCTGGATTTAATATAGATAAATGTTAAATAAAATACCATTTCCAAAATATCTCATGAAAAAAAAAGAATTAAAGTCCTTAGCATATCAAAATATACGGGTGAAAGTGAAAATTTTAGAAATACCTATACCACTACTAATATCTAGGATAGCAAAGAACATTTGAAATGAAGTACACAACATCTGCATTTATAATAGAAGCGTATTGACTTCTTTTCTGATATACCTAGTCCTACAACAAGACATCATTTCAAAAATCGATTTTATCTTATACTGGCGAACTCGGGTTTTCTTATGACTACTTCAAATTTAACTTTGGTAAATAAAAATAAATGAACAAGAACTTCAAATGTATGAACGGTAATTAATTTGTTTTGCACGCCACAAGATATGGTTCCTGCTGAATTTCAGGATGACTTTCTATAAAATCGTTACCTCCTGCATGATCAGTTTAAGTATACAAGCACCAATACTCTTAACTATTCCACCTTCCAAACCAATTAAAACGAAGCCTCTATACTTAGTATATTAACATTAACAGTTTCGAGATCCAAAAATATTTACATTCTCCGCCACAGTAAAATTTCAAGTTACCTCATTATATATGTCCGCCAAAGTGAAAAGAAAGCCCTAAATATCGATTAATTCAAAACTCAAACGCAGACAAAAGGATAGTAAAGCAACTAAGCGGTAACAAATAGATAAAAACCGGAGAAAATTGTCTCAAGTAAAGCAACTCATTTTGACTGCAAATTTACACTTATTGGAAATATAGAGAACAAACCATTTTCTTCATTCTATACTTGAAAGCAAACATCCAGCTCGTAGCGTTTAACAAAAGTTATGGGAAACACACAAGCGAACCACAGAAATTTCATCTAATTGGATATATCGACCGAATGATTTGGCCCAATGAATCAGTCATTCCTAAATCCAAATCATTAATTAACAAACTACAGTGAAGTTCACCCATTTCATTTCACTTTCAACTTCTTATGTTGAAATGGGATTCACCCAAAAGAGACATTGTGGAATTTCACGACCTTCCATAGTCGCATAATTTTGAATGAAAATAGAAGGCCATTTGAATGTTCATAAGGAGTGCATAAGGGGAAGATTATGCAAAAAAGTGAACATGAGTCTACTTAACTTACCAAAACGCCGGCTGCTTAAGCAGAAGACACCAATCAAGGCTTTGATTTGAAATTTTTGGAGATGAATTGTATATTTTAACCAAATCACCATTCAATGCTTCCGGATATGTTGGCGTGTCTACTGAACCACTCTAAAAGTTCGTAAACATTTTGGCAACAGACACGAATTATCTCGCCAAATTTCACGTCATATAAAGAAAAAATAGGCTGGGGATTAAATTAAATTTCCCCAAATTTACGCTTACGAAAACGGAAGAGATATATGGAGAAATCAAAGACATACCTTAACTGAAGAATGCAGAAAAGACGGACGATTTAGGTTGCCTAGAGTACTGCGGCTGTCAGATTGTTGACAATTGAGGTAAACGATAAGATGTTGAAAAACGAAAGCGGCCCAAAACACGGCCAAACTTCCAATAAAGAGGAAGAGTAATCCCCAACTATAGGCTTCACTGAGAAAAGATCCCACAAAACCACACATCAGCGTACTAAAATACATTTTACTCAAGGATAACATCTTCATCGTTAGTTATATAAACACCACAAGATATAAAATTTTATGTGCCATTATCGAAAGGCATTTAAAAGGAATAACAAAAATGGACAAAGGGAGTTGTGAGAATTTATTTTTGAGGGTCCTCATATGTAGCAATCGTTACAAACACCTATTTCTCAAATATTTTATCTCATCTCGCCTTTCACTTCTTGTGGTAATATTTTCAAACTTCATACCATAAAGAATAATATAGCTCAAAGTCAAGTAACTCACGACTAAATACCTTCATCAACCTACAGCACCAAACGCTTGTGAACATATTTCTTAGCTACAAATGAATTATCTACTCACAACTCTTTTTGGCAACAATTTTCAACCACATTTCCATACACTTATTCGGAGATTTCAGAAGGAATACCCCCAAACCATACTCTCCACCTTACTTGTGTTGTAGTTTGCTCACATGGCTTTCTTTCTTTCTTGCACTGCTCTCCCATCGGAGAAGCACGAAAAGGTGTTCATATTTTGTGTACGAAAATCAAATTTGCAAATAGCGGTGAATCTTTTGTTTGTTGATAAGTCTCCTTGACTTTTATCCCTCTTCACCAGAACATCAAATCGGGTCTTTATCCTGGAAAGCCAAGCGACTCTAAGACATCAATTAAATTGCCTTCATTTATTTATTTATAAATCAATTTGAAGTGATCATGTATTCAATAAAATTGACTATCCCACAATGTTCAAATGTTGCAAACATAAATTTACGAAGCTAAATAGGTATCGAGTCATGAAAATTAAGCATTGTGACATGCTTTCAGAATTCAAATGAAGTAGCAATTGATGTCTTGTTTCCGTTTCGCCACGTTTCTGTCGTTACTGCACAATTTTGTTCATTTTCACAATGCAATGCTTTGCACATCATAAGGCAATGCTGTTAAAAATATTTATCCATATATTTTTATAGTTTAGAAAGGGAACTATATATGCATCTTGTGTAATCATGCAGTTAATTCAAAAGTACAATACACTACAGGCAACTGATTAAATGCGATAAAATGAGACTTGCTTTTAAAGTAACGATGAAAAAAATAACACCTGACGAATGAAACTAGATAACTCTAAAGAACACCTAAAAGGGATCAAAACTGAACGCTTTTAAACCGATGTCCCCACTCATTAAGCTATGTGTAATGATGTAATAACTCAATACCAAAATATTATTTTAATACCATTTGTTACTCCTTTACTCAAAAAGACTACTAAGCAATAATTACGTAAATGCATTGTTAATAATTCAAACAAGATCAATGCACTAGATGTTGAGAGGAATAACTTCATATCATTTGGTAACCTTCCTCAAATAATCTTAAAAACATTCGTTGCTGAAAATTTACAAGACTATTTTTGTGCCCATGATGATTTCTTCAGCTTTACGTTCAGTTCACGTAGGACGAAATAGACGCATTGGCTTAAATAGAGTAACACCAAACCACACTGATTCTAATACTAAGTAAGCAAGATATTTGCTTTGAACACCATCTACACAAAGTGCTTACAGTAACGATTAGATAAAGCGCATTATCTAATACTACAATTAAGATCGATTCTGATGAGTAAATAGTAATATTACAAATGAAAAGCATAAAAGAGATAAAAAGAGATAAAAGAGAATTTTGTGCGACTTTAACCAGTAAAGCCGGTATCCAAATGGATAATACGCCTGAACGGTATCTGGTAAGACTAAGTGTTTCCATATCTGTGACAAGATTGCTAAAAGAATTCTGAACACAAACACACTCAACGAGATTTTAAACTCCCAATTTATGAGTATTTTTATTTTACCAAAGAAACTGAAAGTACAAGAAAATTAAGACGTTACTTACCCAGCGTGAGATCCTGAAGTGATGAATGAATACGTGAATTGGCGTTCGGACATTTGTACGTGTTTCGCCATGAGAGATGCCAATCCTGGATAAAAGAAGCCTTATAAAACAAATAAATTTATTTAGGGTTAATAAGTCATAAAAAACAAGGATATACAAATATATTGGTTCAACCTTGAAAAATCCCCAATAGAAAACGGGTCAGAAGAAACAAGTGAAAAATAACATCTTTGTGAGAAACAATAAGAGGTATTATAACAAATAAGGTGGTAATAAGTCCCCATATGACAGTAGTCAGAGGGAGGACTATTTCTCCACCGTAGAGATCACTAAAGTAGCCACCAGCAAACTGCGTCAGCATATAGCCCCAGAAAAATATTCCCATCACAAGACCCTTAATAGAAAATTATTCGTCAAAACTGTTTTAATAAAAAGGGCCAGTACTAATGCTGCAATAGAAAATACCTCGTCTTGGCGAGTCCAGTTATGTTCCTTTGCAATGTAGGATGAACATATTGGAAGAATATTGCGACTTGCATATAGTAAACAACTCCCAGAAAACAAAGTACACATCCACCATTTACGTTCCCTACTAAATGAGATTTGGAATCATTTATAGCATAAGTCAACAAATGAAATCTCATTTTAGATGCGGAATTTAGAAGGATATTCAAGGTGATACAAAAACCCAAAGTTAAGGACGAACGAAATAAAATCCTTACGGGTGCCAATCGGTAAACGAGCGTAACGTGTCTATTGATAAATCTTTAAAAAACATGCCTCAAAAGAGAACCAGTTTGCTCTCTTAAATTGAGTGACCTACGAAATCAGTGGGCACAACGGCTTTGTTTATTAATTCCATTCAAGGCGAATCTATTTAACAATCGTTGACAGTTTCTTAATGCGTGCATTTAATGTTAAATCAAATTTTTATTTAGCAATTAATAGTCCCTCAATCAAAATATAGCCCATTTTCGGCAAATCCTACACAAATAGCCTAATCTGGTCAATATTAAATAAATTTTAGATTGCGAGTCTATAAAAAATAGTTCATAACAGAATTTAAAATGTATCAAGGAAGGGCGATTAGTAAATTTTGTTCATAATTTTGGACAGATTCTCTTTCATAAATAATCACGTTCATTCATTGGATTAGTGACATTGAATTATTATTTGCTTTAAAATATTTACTATAGAACGGACAGTAGAAATTCCTAAAAAATGTGCTCACTTCCCCTATGTGGAAATTTTACTGTAAACAAATTAAAATTCATAAATTTAAACTTAATGTTTTCTTATTTGTTTTTATTTTGAATGACTTTTCATGGGTCTAATAAAACTGGCGATTATAATTGTTTCGAAATGCCCTGTTTAAAAAAAGACAAATTAAATATTGCTTTAGAGAAAGTGCATCTTAAATTCATGACTTAATTTTCACAACTAGGTTGGTAAAAGTACTTTCATTTTCCTTGCAGGCGAACTGAAGCATTTTTGACCTCCAGGTTCATTTACTGCATCGTAATGGTTTTTGACTATCCCGTTTTTGAGAGGGATGAAAGCGTTGTGGATAACTTTTTTGGAACTAAGGTGCGGAGTTTTAGCTATTTTATTAGCTATGTGTATATATATTTTGTTGCAAAAAAATTCTCTGGTTTCTCTATTTTCGCTTTTTTACCACCTAGGTCTACGATCCTTATCGTTGGCTTGAAGATCCTGATAGCTACAAGACTAAACAATTTGTTCAAGCACAAAATAACATTACGATACCTTATCTTGACTCTTGTTCATACAGAAAAGAAATAAAATCTAAGTATGAAAAATCATTTTATCATTATCTTAAATAGAATAACGGATTTATGGAACTATGAAAAATATCAATGCGTTTTCCAGCGTGGTTCAAAATACTTTTACTTCTATAATTCGGGCTTACAAAATCAAAGGTAATATTTTTATTGTCTATAATTTGACCATAGACTAGTGTGTTATATATGACAGACGATTTGAGTAAACGTGGTCAGGTATTCTTTGACCCGAATACACTTTCTGAAGATGGGCTAATTTCACTAAATACATTTGGCTTTTCTAAAGACGGTGAATATTTTGCTTACGGGTTAAGCAATGCCGGCTCTGACTGGGTCACAATATATGTAAGCCTTTCTTACCATCCTCTATCTCCTCTATGTTGATTTTAGGTTAAGAAAGTTGTAACCGGTGAAGATTTGGTAGATAAATTGGAGAAAGTGAAATTTACTAGCATCAAATGGACTGTTGATGGAAAAGGTTTCTTCTACGGAGTATGTTTGTTTTTGTTCTTATCTTCATGCGTTTGTTAGTGTTATCTCAACGCTTCGACTAATGTCGATGGTACAGAAACTGATACTAACGTTAATCAAAAGCTTATGTATCACTATTTGGGTCGTCCTCAATCTGAGGATATAATCTGCGTTGAATGGCCAGAGCATCCAAAGTGGCTTAGGTTTGGTTAAAATTTCTCATATTATTGACTTATTACTTGTCGGTGCATTATTCAGCATTGTATTTATCTATTTAGGATATTTCATTATGTTATTTGCTAGTGTTTGAAGTATTACAAATCATCCGCATGTTTAATTCAATTAGTGGTTTAACCTGTCTATCTTTTGCTCTTCAGTCAAGCGGATGTTAGCGATTGTGGTCGATATGTCTTTATAACTGTTCGAGAGGGTTGTGAACGCAATAACCTTCTTTATTATTTGGACATGGAAGAAATTGGTCACAAAATAACTGGTGCGTTGTATATTCATTTAATGTTATTTTTAGATAAATTAACATTGACCCCTATTGTGGATTCGTTTGAAGCGGTATTCGATTTCATTACTGTTGATGGTCGTAGGGTTGTTATTCAAACTGACCTGGGTGCTCCAATGTATAAACTAATTGTTGTTGATCTTAATAATTCTAATCGTGTAAGTTATATCCATTATTGTTCCCTTTATACGGTTTCTATTATACATTTGTTCTCCAGAAGTCGGTGAGAGTGGGAATTGTTGTGATTCTACTTACCGGGGTTTTCCGAAAATCCGCCCAGGGCGGTTAGACGAACAATATCATTTCATGAAACTATTTTTCGAACCAAAAACCGTCCATCCGAATTAGCGCTCAGGGGCCATAATACAGAACTAAAGCTATTCACCTAAGAAGAACATATACATATAGGCTTCCCTGTATGTCTAGCTCTCGTGTATTGAACATTTGGAATGACTCATCCTGCATGGGGAGAATCAAGCTTCAGTCCCAAATAGAGAAAAGCTGTAAGACCGCATTTTAACTTTTAACCCCGAATTACTGCTCATCCCAATAAGCGCCCATGGGACTTTCGGAAAATCCCGGTAAACATTTGAAATTAATATCCTCTCCTTGGATTGACCTTTTTAACCAAGTTGGTTTTAATTTCGTACAATCATTATCGTAGGTTACTTCATTTGCAACTTGTCAATTTGATAGAGCATTTTAAACTCCCTTTGCCGTTTGTTCAGATATGCCACAACTAACCTAAATAAATAAAGTTTTGCAATAAACTGTTTTGGAGATGACATATGCTCTGTCATTAATACGTTGATGCTTGAACGTATTCTTCCGAATATTCATTCTAATTTGGAATTTCAGGTTTTGAAAACCTCGTGGGCTTGGATAATAGTTAACGTAGAAAACAACTGGATCGAAATTGCATTTGGTTCAAGAAGATATTTGTGTCGATAGTGTTATTTGTGTTTTAGGAGAATTGGAAGGATCTAATTCCACACGATGAGTCTTGTCTTCTTGAGTGGGCTGTATGTGTCAATGAAAAGGATCTTGTTGTTTGCTCTATGAAGGATGTTTGTGTAAGCTCCAATTGTTGTTTTTCTATTTTCGTTCAGCATAGCCTATCAGTTCATGCCTTGGAGTCAGGCAAGAGGAAACGTAATATTCCTGTTGATATTGGTTCGATTTCCGCCTTTTCAGGCAGAAAAGAAGATACGTTGGTAAGATCTATTTGATCATAATCATTGCTTGCTTCTAAAATGTTTATTTTTCCCTTTAGGTTTTCTTTCAATTCACTTCATTCTTTACTCCTGGCATTGTTTACTCCTATGATTTAACTGATCCTGATGCAAAACCAAGGGTTTGTTTGCAACCTCAAATTGCCTCGTTTATTCTGCATGTTTTTTTATGAAACTACTAAGGGTAAAGTTTGTATTTGACCAACATTTTATTGGTTCACTCTGTCGTCGTAAGTGTACGAAAAATTTTGAGATACTATTAGCGTCTCCTTTTTGAATAAAATGACAAGTTATTAATCGCTTTTTAACCCCACTTATCTTTCTAGTATGATGGATAATTGACCATTTTGCAAAAATATGAGATCGCTATTTCTCGATGATGTCGTTTATTTTGACACTGGAAGGTCCCTGAGTGTGGAAAGTCAAGACTAGTTGGCATTCATTTCTCTTTTACTTCTTGATCTGTTATTATCACAAGGTAGCGCTCCAGATAGTCTTTATAGGGTTGCATTAGTGTTTCCAGTAGTTTTGCTCGAATACTACATAAACCCACGTTCGATTCGTCTTAAGATGTACCTTTATTTTATATCATTGCCGATAAAGTTTTAGTTATAAAGCCAAGATAGGTAAAACCTCGCCTGAATAATTACTAATATTCTAATTGTAGCAATTGTAAACTTATTGAACTGATGCTGGTATCTGAAATAGTTATTTATTCGACTGTAAACTTAATTTTACTTAATATGTGCTTTTAGATAGTATTCCAAACGGAAGTGAGAGGTTTGGACCTGTCTAATTTTGAATCAAAGCAAATTTTCTATTCAAGCGGTGATGGTACGCGCATTCCTATGTTCATTCTACATCAAAAAGTAAATATTTACTTGTGTTATATTAGTAGAAAGAGCAAGACGATCGCTCACTATTATTATTTGCTGTAGAACTTTGTAGCCAATGGGAAGTCTCCTTGCCTTCTCTACGGATATGGCGGTTTTGGCCATTCGCTAAACCCTTTTTTCAGTCTTACGTACCCTTTGTTCCTTCAATTCTTTAATGGTGTTGTTGCAGTTGCAAATATTCGAGGAGGAGGGTAATTGTTCAAAATTTCTCTTGTTTTATTACAATGTGATCGGTACAGAAAATATCTTCAGTGTTATGACTTAGAATTAGTGATGAAAGTAGAAGGCCACAAGAAACTCAATTTATCTTGTTTTTCTATCAAACGTCATAAATTTGAATGTCTTAAGAATACGAATTTTGCATTTAAGCATTTTGAAACCCTATATTTTACTTACCTCCAACTATTCTAAAGTTATTGGCACTGTTAAGTATATGCTTTTGTTAAACCTATCATCCTTCTTTTTTCTACTAAATTTCCAAAGCGAATACGGCGAGAAGTGGCATTCTGGCGGAAAGTTGCTCAATAAACAAAATTCTTTTGATGATTTCATCGCTGGGGCGGAATTTCTTATTAAGAACAATTACACTTCTCCAAATAGGTATGCTTTTGAATTTGATTTTAAAAACAGTTACTTTTTCCATTTCCAATGTTACTTATCTTTCTCTGAAAGTAAGCCCATATGTAAAGGTGCTGAAAGGAATTATTGGGACTGCATTTAAATAATTAACCGCTGAACAACACTTTTGTGTACTACTAGGTTTTGCCTAAACTTGCATTTGGAAAAAGGCTTTGTCTACTCTAGGTGTGATAGAGATAAATGGGTTGTGTTAATATATTTTTCAACTAGGAAATAAATGAAATGAACCTTGCAATATCATTCGTTCCAATGTGAACATTTAACAAAAGGTTATATAGGATATCGCAAAATATTTGGCGCATTTGTTGACGGCGTGTGGAGTTTCAGTTGAATCTAAGCTTTACTTGTTGCTAAAATATGATGGCACTTCGCAATCGGTTATTGGTGTTTTATCAACCTTTCAAGTTGATAATAAAGTGAATCTATACTAGGTCATGTTTTTAGGTCAAGGTGATAAAATTAATTTTGCAGTAATAGTCGTAAAACCTGGTCAATCAATGTACATATCTAAGTTAAAGGTTGGGGTGGTTTCGTGAGTTAAAGCCTCTGTATGGCCTTTTCTAAACTTTTGAGGTAATAAGTTGGTTACTCTTAGATAGCTATAAGTTGCTTGTGTGTAATGTAAGAGCACATTGAATTGAACTTTTGTTATCTTTTTACCCTAGATTAGTAATCGAAGGAGCCAGTAACGGTGGCTTGTTGGTGAGCGTATGCACAAATCAGCGTCCAGACTTGTTTGCCGCCACCATTTGCCAAGTACCAGTGACCGACATGCTTCGTTTCCATCGTTTCACCATCGGTCATGCCTGGCGGTCGGATTATGGTGATATTTCCAAGAAAGAGGTTTTTCGTTGCATCATGAAGTGAGTCGCGACACTTCGGTTTAGCTTATTATTCACTCATCTGCCTCTATCTCATTACAATATCAAACTCACAATTGGCTCAGGTGAGTACATGCAGTACAAAGGAGAGGAGGGAGATTGGCTTTAACTATAGGAGTAATGAATTGGCTAGTTTAATCATCGTCTATTTTACGGTGTTTCTGAATATGATTGATTGGACGATAGAAAAAATCATAAGTGCAGTTGACTTGATCATTGAGTTTCTATAGTGGATGTGGACATGCAATCTCTAAGCATCTCAAGCTAGTTGTATTTTTGCGAGTAATATTGGACTCTGGGAAATATTTTGAGGTGAAGTTCCCCATAAATTCTTGAACCGATTTCGTAAGTGTTTTTGTGTCGATGTTTGCGGGTATTTCTAACCCCATGTTGTCAATTGAAAGGAAGATTGAAGTTGTAAAAGTAATCTGGAAATACTCTCTCACTTGTGCAGTCTGAAATATGCAAATCGGCACCGCATTTTATCGACTTAAATCAGGTTGGAGCATGCGTTGGCATTTTTCTTACTTTTGGACGCTACTTGTTTTTGGGTGAGTCATTTATCCATTTTCCATTAAAATCTTACTCCCAGACTTCCAATGAAATGAGTTGAAAGAACTCAGTTAAATAATTGAGCATTCAAACATTTAATGGTTTGACTTCCATCCGCTAAGGAATTGCTAATCACATTGAGCGTCATTATTATTTTGAGTTGTAAAGAAATAGGTCTATGTGACATGCTCTATCAGAGGATCATGATTAGTATTTATAGCTCTGATATCAATTATTATTTAACAATACTTTGTAAACATTTTGAGTGAAGCAACTAGACCATACCTGCTATATTGCAGTCTTAATGCAGGATGAAAATGAGATTG